AGAAATTTAAAAAAAACCCAACCGCTAAATCATAAAAGGATTACAGTAGTGATTCGTTATTAGGGAAGTGTTTCTAGCTGTATGTAGTAATGGTGACTGAGAGTGTTCAGCATCTTTACAGATGCTCCAAAAGAAAATACAGATCATTGCTGATAGGAATTCAGAAGTTATTCTGATTTGAGTAAAAAACAATGAACTATGTTATGTATTTTGTCCATTATAAAGTAATCAAGATAACATAGTAAGATCTTAGATTTAATGCTCTGAGCTGCAGTAAGTGTGTGAAATACAGACTTATAAAGCAATGGATAGAAACTCTTGGGGCCATAATAGCTATGCTATACACTACTAAGTTTAAGGAAAGAAAAAACCAAAAATACTGGCTTTTCTTTCTTGAGTTTCAACACGAAGACACGTTTCCCATTGGGTTTGTGGTTGGATCCTTTTAAGCTGTTTGTTTTCATGTTATTCTGAGAATTTTACATTGATAGTAGCTGGGTCCTGTGTGGCTCTATCAAAGTATACGGAACAAAAGATTGTAGTTTTGGAACAAAAGGTGACAGTTGAGTATAAAACGATTTGAGCTGGAAATTGTAGTTTGATTAGGGATTTTCTTTAACAACTGAGAAGTAGGACTGGTCATACCTGAAGATAGTTGTTGCCTGGTTATTTAAGGCATGCATTTCCTACCTTCCTAGCACTTGAAAGACATAAGCAACTGAGAAAATGAGTATTAGTAACAAAACTAGAGTTTAAAGTTAAAAAATACTTTTGACTACTTCTTTATTCACTGGCTGGTAAAAGTGAAGAATAATGTTGAAGTAGTCCATTTACTTCCATCCTGTCTTACAGCATCTCCTAAATAAGGTCTGTTTTAAATCAGAATTATCATCTAAATTATATAATTAATTCAACATAAATTAAACAGTAGTATTTTTTCTTTATGATATCCTTTGAAAAGGATATTAATTTGCTTCAATGAATGAAGATAATAAGGTTAATAGTTTAATGTTCCTCAGTTGATATCTGCTGCTTTTTCTATTACCTTTTTTCAGTTTTTGATTATAAATTGGCTAACCCCTGGTGTATAATTCCAGAAATCATCCCTTCAATGTATCCAAAGCTATTTACTTAGACTCATCTTTTATTATTCCCACTGCCACAGTCTAATTATTGTAGTGAAAGATTGAACACAGAATAGTTTGGGGCTTTGATCAGTCTTCATATAAATTTCAATAATGAGAGTAAAAGGTTTGCGGTTTTCTGAGATAATTTGATCCCTCCAGACACACACTGCTGTTACAAAATGCAGTTCTTTTTTGGATGCCGTATGAGACCTCTGACAGAATTTGTGTCTGGGTTCGTGACATCTCTCGAAGCAAAATTCTTTTTTCATACCAATAAAGAGTAATTTAATATTGTTAAATATGTCAGAGAAACTACATACTATGTACATTTTGCCTTAAATTTTCACTTCATTTTCCACTATCAGTCTAATTGTCTGTTTTACAAGTTCCTACATCAGCGTTTTCAGGATCCGCTAAGAATGCGTAATGGGTTTGCTTGCATTTCTCTCGTTTTGAAAAAATATACTGTCAGTCAAATAAATAAAACAAACCATAATCCTTGTTATTCTATTACTATCAGTGCTAACTCCCTTTGGAGATAAATAGAAAAGCAGCTGGAGTCTGAGGATATTTTGTAATCTTATAAATTGAAATTTAAATGCCTCAAGGAGGAAATTTCCAAAATAATTGTGACAGAAGATAAGTCCCAGCTTTTGGCAAAATTTTATTAGAATTACTTGTTCCAGATCATTGTCTGTTGCCTGCATGAATTAAGAAAATGGCAGCAGTGCCATGTAGAGAAATAGCTGGGGTTTTTTCATCTTGATAAATTCTTCCAAAAGTGCTCTGTCATCAGTGTTACTGCGTGTGACACATTCAGGGACACTATCAAATTAAAAATCATGAGCCTTTATCTGATGCCCCTTTATTTTAAATCGTGTGGGTTTTGTCTTTCTTACTAACAGCATCTCCATTTATGTAACTAAACATTTAATTTTTTTTATACTGAACATGAGGGTTAGTTAGTGAGGTTTTTAATTTTGTTTGGGGCATGGCTTTTGTTTTTTTCTCACTGGGCTAGGCAGTCAGAAGAAAGACTTGATGACTTTCTGGTCTCCTTCACTGTCATCTGCTAAAGAACTCTTGCTGTCTTTTGACAGTGAACCTTGGACAGAAATATTTGTTTAAACTTAGTGAATCCCAGTTACACGTAATAGCAGCCATTGCATTCCCAGACATTTGCGAAAGCTAATACTGGTATCTAATGCTAAAGCTTGGGTGAGTAAGGTTTTAAGAAGACTTTATTCTTAAGATCCACTGGTAGCTTGGAAATGAGAAGATACAACATGAGTACCAACAGCACATGAGCATCATGAGACAGCAGGAAAGCAATGTAAACCTCACAAAATATAGTTTTTACAAACAGTTTATGCAACGAAGGTTGATTTTTCATAGATATCGTGGATAGCAGACTCATTTAAGACCAAAGAATTAACATACTCCGTTTCCACATGCTGTCGGTATGCGGCTATGCGAGTTCAGTGCAGTTTTGTATGTGGGGAGTAAATCAGAAACATTGCAGAAACGTTTTCACTGGGTCAGCTCCATAGAACCTTAGTTATTCAGACTTTCAGATAAGAGTCATCTGAGACTGATGGAATGAATAGGGCTCTGAGAGGCAATTGACAGTTAGGAAGTAGAATAGGCTACGCCGTATCAGTAATTTCTGTGGATTCATCTGGTTTTTGGACTGTGCAGAGACACGCCATGCATCTCTACCTGTCTGTGATGGGAAAAGGATCAGGCAGGACCACTGTCCCAGCCAGCCTTCCAGAGAGCCCTGGGAGCAGCTGCGGGCAGCTCGCTAGAGTGTTAAATAATAAAATTCTTCTGGTGGTGCCATGGGTGGGGGTATTAGCTGTGAACCTTTCACCATCCAAATTTTTTTCCAGTGGTCTGTAAGGCTTCTCCTGCAGTCACAGGAGGGATCTCTTTTACCCTTTCCATCCTGTGTGATGGCAAGCAATTCTGTGTTCACGTTCTCGGAGCTCCTCAGCTGATGTCTTCTTGCCTTGATCTGTTCCAATTTTTCTTAAAGATCTGCCTAATAAGAGAGAATCTAAACTCTGCAAATTTGGTAAACAGGAAAGCAGGACTGGAAGGCAGAGTGTCCTTGGTGATAAACAGCCAAAATCATTCTGGAAAAACAGAATGGCAGGAAGAGCAAATGCAAAGTGCCGCACTTAGGCTCCAGCAATCAATGGCAATAACCAGAAAGGGGACAACTAGCAAAAGATCATTAGAAAAGGAGCTGGGCATTATGGTGGTTGGCAAGGAAAATGTGTTAGGCTGCCGTGAAAAAGGCAAAGCAGCAGCGGAGCCTGCCGGAGATGCGAAATGTTCTGCTCTACTCCACGCTTTAAAGATCTCCGCTGAAGCTGCGCACCGAGTTTTGAGCAGGGCGCAGAGAAGCGCGTCTGAGCACATGGGCAGGGGGGAGCAGCAAGAGATATCGGAAGATGCACGACAGATTGAAATAATAAGGTCTGTTTATTCTGAAGTAGACTAAAGTGCTAAATGCCAGAAAGATGAGCGGGACTAACCGGGCCATGATGGATGGGACTGAAGAAGTGATTTATTTTGTAACAAGAAAGAGGCAGGTTAGACATTAGAAGGAAACCTCTCCATTAAGCAATAGTGAAGCCCTAGAACAGATTTTTTTGGGAAAGCCATGAATTTCTTACTGGTAGCTTTTAAGAAGAGCTTTTGCTCACATCTGTCAGGAATTGCATAGGTAAAGTTGATCTTGCCATTTTCTTGGCTGTACCACACTGTACAGCAGCTGTCTGTGGGCATATGTAATAATGTTAACAGTGATAAAAAGAGATTTTGAAAAATAGAGGCACTTAACTCTTTAGCAAGAACTTAATATAACCGATGGTGTTCAACACCATCACCTATAGGAACGAAATGTCTAGGGACGCCTGACAACATCTGCTGTGTTATAAACAAGGTATATACTTTTTTTGCATAATTGCATCAAAAATCTGATTGCCAGCACTACTAACCCCAGCAGTTCTGGAACTGGAAAGTTTTCTGTTGCTTTTCAAATGGAATTTTGAGTAACATCAAGCTAATAACATTTTAAATTGTTGGCTTTGGGGTCTTTTTTTTTTTTTTTTGTATCTTCATGTTTCATGTTTCCAAGATACATGGAAATAAGTGGGAAAGATTCTTATTTCTTTGTTCATATTTTCTTTTCATACTGGGACAGATTTAAATTCCTTCTTCAGCCCTCTGTTTCCTCGCTTCCAGCCTTTTACAGTTAAGATACAAGTCTACGGTATAACAGAAATCAAAGGGGTTGTAATGAAATGTCTGAAGGAGAGTAGTGGAATCTACTTTTAATTCATTAGTTTAAAGCATGTGCAAAATCTATTAAAACTGTTTCCAGTGCATAAGGCTTGTTATTGTTTGTTCTTTCTCTGCCTTAGAAGAATCCAACAACATTAGAAGTGTGTCACATTTTTTAGGCCCAAAAGAGTGGAACACCTTTTAATGGGAAAGAAAATGTTTTTTGAAAACTAGAAGACTGAGCAGTGAAATAAATTGAGCCTCAAAAAGTGATTGAAATCTCCAAGTCAATATACAAAAGGCATCCAAAGACTTGTGAAGTCTGACAGAATCTCTTTAGTTTGAGGTGTCTTTCATTTTGCATCAGGGCTTACATTTTTAAAAAACAGAAGAAAGTGGTGCTGTCAGGTGAAGCGGGTTTGAAAGCAGGCTGCCTGTTCATGAAAGCCTGAAATTGTGCACAACTCTAGATAATGCGTCTTCAGCAGATAACTGAAATAATGCATTTCCTAAATTGGTTGCATTAAGCAATTACTGATACTGTAGTGGAAACCATATCATTTTCTTCCTTCCTTGTAGCCTCAGCGCCGTGTCACGTTTCACCTACCAGATGGCTCCCAGGAAAGCTGCAGTGACAGTGGGCTCGGAGACCACGAACCCACGAGCGGTGCTAGCACATCGCACCCTCTGCCCCTCGGCTTCCCCCAGGAGGAGTACTATGAGCAAGCTTCACCCAACAGCCGGACAGAAGGAGACGGCAACTCGGACCCCGAGTCCAGTAAGTGATGAGCTCTGGTCAACTTAGTTAAATCATTCTAGTATCGAAAGTTGGCTTCTTTTTCAGGCAATTATTAAAATGGCACGTCGATTCTAATGTGGCCAAAGAAGCCCTATATTTCTAAAAATATGAAGTCTGACCACTGGAAATAAAACACTCTTGAGCTGTGAAGGATGACCCGGTATTTTTATAGATCTGCTGTGATGTACGCAGAGGAGCTTTCTGCTGCCCTTACGGTCATAAATACTGTGCTGAGGGATTTTACGCTTTTTAATGTTTCCCTACCCGACGCTACTGCGTGTTGTAGTTTGTGTTAACAGGAAGAACTTCTGGATGATGGGAAGGGCTTTTCTTGATTTGTCTTTTGAGAGCAGCTATGGTGTGTAGTAATAATCTCAAAAGAGTTTGTCATCTTATTTCTGCCATTATCACTGGCTTCTTAGGATATTGAAAACAGGCAAAGTCAAGGTGAGCTCAGGACCACACTAGAGCTATGGATGCTGGTATTGCTTCCTCTGCCGTGATGTGATAGCCAGCTAGAGACTCCACTGTGCTATAGTCAACTGTTAATTGTCCAGGGGCTCTTTACCTGGATTAAATTGAACCGTGCCATTGATAAAGAGATACCTGAATGTGTGTAAGCCTCTAAGGCCTTATTAGCAGCCTAATAAGTGATTTGAAAATACATCTGTTCTGGGCAAATCTTGGCCCAAAAGGTGTATTTCAGCTGCTTTAGTGTATCCTGAAGAGTGAATTAGTAAGTCCTATGCACTTGAAGTAGCTCTGTGAGAAGGTAGTTACATCTCTGCGCTGGCAAATACAGCATCCAGCAGAGAGCATTACCTTTCGACTCCGAGCTGGCTCTGACAAATGCAGCCTGGCTCTTGGAAATCACACTGCAGCCTTTGCCTTGTGCTGCCCAAGAAAGGGAGTCTGAGGGGCTTGTCTGCATGGATGAGGTCCGTTCTCTCTTTTTCTTCTAGTTCATAAACTATTCACTGGGGATCCTCAGTTTCAGACTTTTTAAAATTTGTCAAGTTGTATAGCTCCTGAAATAATGCCAGAATATTATTTTATTCTGAGCTGATAGACAGCTAACAAGAACCATCAGAGGTTTTGGATGCTGTATTGAAAACATTATTCATTGTTTGCTTTTGTTTGTGTTTATATATTTGAGGCTGTAATATACCCTTAAGAACATTCTATGCAGTCAAACTGAATTCTTCACAGAATGAGGCTCTAAAGGGCTACAAATACACCCCCAAAGAAAGAAAAGTTCTATATTGTGTTTGCTGGTTTTGCTATGCATACTCATAATCTTGCTTTCCAGCTCTCTTTTGTTGTTTGTAACTGATATTTATGCTTTACTGAGGTACATGAAATCCGTATTTGGGTCCTTTTGTGAAGAAGGTGTAAGACACCTGGTAAGGACCTGGTGTATGAGGAGCTGTAGAACAGGCATGTGGATCCTCTCTTGCCATTTACAAAGAGGCTCAGGTTTTGGATTTACCAGTGCTTTTTGAGTCCAGTTTTTTGCAATTTCAGAAGAAATACGGATCATGACTTCTAGTATGTTGCCCTAAAAGTAATACAGCTCTGACATCTGAGTATCACTGACATGTATCACTGCGTGCAGACTAAGCAGGCACCTGATGTCTTTTCAAGTGTGAAGTTGAAGAAAGTTTAGTCACCTGTCTAATTACCTGACAGTTCAGTTTTAAACTTGAAATCTCAGTTTAATTAGCATTTATGTTATGTGAAGATTTTTTGCCCTTCTAACTTGTATCTTATTGAAACAGTTCAATTGGCACAATATAGCGTGATGCTTACGGTGCGGAAAGCGTACTTTGCAGTCCTTTTTAGTGTTTTATGCTTATATTAATGGCAGCATCTAGTGGCAGGAAAAAAAGCAGATATAAATAGATGTCTGCTGTGTGCTCTCATACATCTAAGTAAAAAAGAAGGGGAAGACCCACAGCATATTTTTATTCAGTATACTCCTGCCAAGTGACTAACTGTAGGTAAGAGCAACCAAAATATCTTGTGTGCTGATCTATGGAAGCGTTCAGCCTGAGGTTCATTTCATTCACTTGTGCATGTGGGACACATTTAGTCAAGAGTGAAATAGCGAAAACTATTCTGTATTGATACTTTCCTCTACAAACATGCTGCTAGATTATAGATCGTTGATTTTTTTTTTTCATCTAATTTGGAGTGGCATGATATATTGAAGTGTTTCTACTCTTGTTTCATGGGCCAAAATGTTGTTAATGTGAAAAGAGAAAGGAATATATGGTCAGATAATCTGAGTAGAATATGTACAACAGAACAAGCATGGCCTTCATTCTGTCTCAAGATCTTTAATATCTGACCTGTCTTAATCTGAAACGTTGTCTAAAACATTAAGCCTGGTTAATCATCTCTGGTGATTTAGTTCAACTTTGCCTACCAAGGAGACACAGAGTTGGGATGAAACAACTTCAGTAACGTCTAGACCCTACTGAGACATTAAGTGGCTTACGAACGCTGATCACAGATGCCGCACCACACAGGGATCTATTCAAAAGTATTTTCTCCATCTTGTTTTTCCTCCACACATGGCTTTATTTGTTATTGGAAATTATTGCATTTTGGAAACTTGGCATTTATTAGCAATAGAAAAGCATTTATTACAAAACACTGAAAAAGGTGAGCATAACTTACAATAAAAGCTGCGAAATATTGGTGAGAAGAAGCCTTACAAATCCACGTTCAGTATAGGACTGAAGCAAGGGGGAAAGAATAACCATAAGAATATAGTGGTTAGAAAACTATGAGCAATTTATATGTTCACCTTTAAAATTAATTGACTGTACTAATTAAAATTAGAAATAGGCTATTTAAAATGATTTGTCTTCTCTTACTTTAGTTGTCTTCTCAAAAGAGCATAATGTGCAGTGTGGTAGATGTGTCATAAGGAAGAGATGCCAATAAACTGTCACACTAAGTAAATAGTAATATAAAAATGCGTGGAGGTTTGTAGGGAGCATTATCCTTAAGTAACAGCACTGATGTGCGTGGTATTCTTATATTTTCTGCTCATAAATTGCTCAAACTAATAAGGATTCTCCAATAATTCCCTATGCTAAGGATTTTAACCATATCACCTTTTCTCCCCCCTCTCTTTTTTCCCCTGTATTATGTTTAAATGCAAAACACACTACAAACATAGACAAAGAGTAACAAAGTCTCTTTGGGTAAACTTCCCTAGCAAACTGTCTCTCAGCGGTGCCCACTTAGTGGCTGTAGGCAGTGATGTCAACCAAAAGGTTTGAAAGGCACATGTTAACCCCAGTTATGCTTGGTTATTTAATACACGTTAATGACAAATCTTCATGCTTCACGTGTTTTTATAGCCTTGTCAAACCAATCTGGCTATTTTTTCCCCCCTCTAGAGAATATATATTTTTTTTTTGTTACTTTTATTTGGAGAAAGTAGAATATGCCCAGTTCAGCTAAGAAATTGGGCAGAGTAAGAGGCATATGATTGCAGCTTTGGGGAGGGGCAGGGAACAAGGGGAGAGGTGGAAAACCTGACAGTAATCTGCAATTAAATACTTGTAATTATTTTTGTTTAAACAAAATGGAAGTCTAAACAAAGCTAGTTGAAAATTAAAGGACTAGTTAATGAGGCAAATCATGTTAAGATTTCAGGGGTTCAAATAGGTGAAAACTGCCGTCTTAAGGAGAGGGGGGGTCCCTATAAGGATATTTAACAGCAATTAGTGACTAATAGACCACAAAAGTTGTCCTGAAATCAGAAGGTGTAGAGCTAAGGAAAGGATGGCCAACAAGTGAGCTGATAGCCACTGTAGCTTCATGGCCACTTCGAGCTGGTGTTGCCAGAGGTGTCTGTGACTGCCTCTTTGTATCTCCCAATTGCACTTTCTCCTGTGGCAGCACAAGCATTTGGAGAGCTGCTTGGGTGAACTGGAGAGAAGAATTCGTCTGGGTTCAACCTGACCTAGAGGGAGAAAAAAGTTACTTCTAAATTCCCCAATTCCATTCGTTACGTGAGGCACTACTTGTGGACAGCAAACGAGTGAATGAGTAGCTGGGTCAAAGCTTATGCTGGCTTTAAGTGCTCATCAGACTTCAAGAGAATTAGTCTTAAGAAGAATTAGGACTGGAAGCTATGGTATTTAGCCATATAAGGAGGAGGTTTGCAGCAAGGGTGACATCTGTTCATGATTAAAGATAGCATATATTTCTTCCCCAAAATTAAAAGAACACTTTCACCTTGCCTTAATTTTTGATAAGGATGATGTTGATGAGAGCAAAGACAGGCTGATGAAGAATGATGATAATGGAACTGAAAGGCAGAGCAGGTTCAGTGCATTCATGTGGAGGAGAGGAGATAATCTTCCTCCCAGGATATCAAAACTGATAGTGTTTTCCTTATTTTTCTGTAATTCTAAGAGACAAGGTGTCAAGAAAAAAAAGTGCTTCGTCAGGTTTCACTACTGGAAAACCTTTACAAGAAAGAAATTGAGATGCACGTAAACATAAAACAATAAATGGTATCATAGGTTTCCTAAGAATAGTACTAGATTGGCTCTATTATCTCATTTCAATGACATGTATTTTTAATATTGGGGAATACACGCCTAGTTAGTCTATATAGATTTAAGAACTAATAACTATTATTATGATGTGAAGGTCATTAGTAATTAAGAAGGAAAAGACACAGATTAATAGAAGAATGGAAAAATCTCCATCATTATCTTCATTAATGAGCTTGGCATTAAAAAGCAGGAACATTTCAATGAAATGGCTATCTCAAAGCCAAGCATCACTGAAAATACAGAGGAGGAGGTGTGTATGACACAAGAATTGGATTTTGCTAAGGATTTGGAGTAATAGCAGTGGGATGAAATCTAATAGTTGAGAGTCAGCTAAAAATTACAGGAAGGAAAAAAAAAAAAAACAAGTGAGTATTACGAAGATAAACTGTAAGTCAC